ATGACAGAATTTAAATTTTTGGGTGAACAATACCATTAAATCATTTTTATTTATTTAATTAAAATTAAATATTTAATCATTTTTATTTATTTAATTAAAATTTTTTTTTTTTTTTTAATTTAATTTAATTTAATTTGCTTTTTTACAATATACATTGTTCTAAAACAGCTTTACTGCCATAAAAAATGGAAAAATAAATAAATGAAATAAAATCAAGAAGATAAAAGGAAAAGACAAAAGAGTCATATAAAGTGCTATGTTGTATCGAACCCCTATCATTTTATTTCAAAGGACATGTGATGCATCTGGTGGTTTACCTTGATGTTGTTCTCCGCAGCAATGAGAGAGGCCTGCATTTTGTGGGATTTCTCCCTGCTCTCCCTGGCCTCCTCCTGCACCCGCTGCAGTTCGCTGCGCAGCTTCCCCAGAGTCTTCTGCAGCGCCGCTTCCTGCATCTGGAACTCCTTCCTCAGCTCTGCTTCGGTCTTCTTCCAGGCCAGCAGGTTCTCTGCGGTCATCTGCTGCGTGCGCTTCATGGCCTCCAGTTCCCGTTCGTAGAAGGCCTGGGCTTTATTTAGCTTGGCCTCGTACTCCTCCACCAGACGCTTCTTGTCCTGTTTCAGTTCCTCGACCCTTTCAGTCAGTGAATCCACCTCTGCTTTATGAAGCTGTCCCAGTTTCTCCTGGTCTTTGCTGTAGTTGGCATTCTGGCTTTGGTGTGAACGAAGCAAATCTTGAACCTGTAAAAGCAACATGCATTCAAGTGTTTTTTTTTATATAGTGGATACAAACCACTTGCTGCTTACCAAACAGCGACAAGCAATTTGACAGTTCAAACTGAATATGAAAATGCAACAGAGCATGACACATTTACATTTACAACAATCAGATGTTATCTTATGTTTAATGTACAGTAATCAGGACGGGCCTGGCGCTTCATCCGCTCGTGCAGCTCCATGGACTCCTCCAGAGACTGAATGCGCCGCTTCAAGTCCATCTCATCACTGATCTTGCTCTTGTACTGCATGATCTTCTCCCGCGTTTCCGAGAGGATCTGCTGCACCTCCTCCTCGTGGGCTTCCTTCAGGGTCTGGATGGCCGCTTCGTGCTCGTCGTTCTTGGTGTTGAGGGCATAGATCACCTGGACATGCGAAAGGAGAAATAGTTGAATCATCTTCTAGAACCTTCTAGGCAACAGAACCTGTGCTTGCTCAGTCCATGACAGCTTAAAAAGTTGAGAAATTCCACGGAACAAGCTTAAAGTTAAAGGTTAAGTAAACACTGTTTAGCTGATCTAGAGCTTTTGTGCTCAATGCATTACACATGTAAAGCCACTCAATGAACCGAGACACATTAGCAAGCTTTCACTGACTGACCTTTAAACCAGAAGATTTATGTCCAGCTCAAATATGGGAAAGGTTTACCATTATACTTTGAGATGTTATACTTATAGGGTAGCAACTTATTTACAACAAAACTTTTCTGTTTCTCGCTATACGTATTCTGTAGTGGCTGTAAAGTGTACAATGGACATCAAGTGACCACAAAAAGTACCAAAACTGCACATAAAAGTACAAATATGCTTGACAATTTGTGAAAAATATTAGCATGCCATAAGCTGAAGCTGCACAGAAATGAACAATTTTCACTGTAATATTTCATTTGACTTGCATAGTTTTAATTCATTGTTTTTGAAGATGTCAAGTAACCTGTTCATGTTGTCATCTGCATAATTTGGCTACTTATACAAAGTTACAGGTCATTGGATGTTTTACCTTTGACATCAGCAACAAAATAATAATTATAAAAAACTAAATAATAATGATTGTTTTGCCTATCTTTTAAATACTATGCAAAAAACCATGCAAGTAGGGTGTATAACTGCATGGTTAGTTGCCATTTATTATTTTCCCCAGCTATCTGTGACCCTTTTAGTACAAAAATGTGACCTATTTATGAGTTGCAACCCACCAACTGAGAACTGCCTAGTCCAGAAAGATTAATTATTAAAGAGATAAATTATTTAGTTTTTTTATACCCTGAAAGAGTTTGCTAACGCATAATTTTCTTTGAGAAAGCTAATCAGAAACAGTGCACAAAAACTAGAGATACGTTTTTAATTTTTAATTCACTCAGTTAGGGAGAGAGCTTGAAAGTCTCTAAAAATGGGTCTGAGATTGCCTTCATAAAATAAAACTTTGGGATGCTCATGAATACTTTTTGTTACTTTGTTAAAATTAAAGACATGGAATCTTAGCTCATAAATAATAGGTAATGCACAAATAATTGAACATGGTCTTTTTAATTGTGTTGTGCTGAAGTATTACACAGAGATCGGACATAAATTCATACCTACATCCAGCATCGCCAGCCTCTGAATTTTAAATCAGAACACAGATGCATATAAACATATTCACAAAAAACTGAAAATGCAATTTCAGTGTTGAAACAGCAATGACATCTAAAAAGACAAAATAAATAGCTCTTATTTCTTCTCAGCCAAACTATTCCCCTGCTTGATTATTTGGAAACAAAGTGACCTTCGACTGCAATTCTCATGCTTTGTGTGTCCGGGTCTCACTTCATTTCCATAATTGTCTAGACATCTGATTAGGTGAGATCCGTTCGGCCACCTGAGAGCGGCACAATAGAGTTATCTCCTTTACAAATCCTGCTCTGTGAGAAACCGTGACTCAGTTTGAAGACGTACAGTATGTGCTCCTCTCTAGGGTTAGGTCAAATAATGTCATATTTGCATTAAAAATGACATAACTGAGCGAATGACACTTAATGACAGTTGTCATTAACATGCATAAAAACTCCTTCATATTCATGACATGTGTCATGTCATAATTATGAAGGTGTAATGTCAGTCTTATGCACACCCCTTCAAGTAAAGTGTTACCGAACAATTTTCACTGTAATATTTCATTTGACTTGCATAGTTTTAATTCATGGTTTTTGAAGATGTCAAGTAGCCTGTTCATGTTGTCATCTGCATAATTTGGCTACTTATACAAAGTTACAGGTCATTGGATGTTTTACCTTTGACATCAGCAACAAAATAATAATTATAAAAAACTAAATAATAATGATTGTTTTGCCTATCTTTTAAATACTATGCAAAAAACCATGCAAGTAGGGTGTATAACTGCATGGTTAGTTGCCATTTATTATTTTCCCCAGCTGTCTGTGACCCTTTTAGTACAAAAATGTGACCTATTTATGAGTTGCAACCCACCAACTGAGAACTGCCTAGTCCAGAAAGATTAATTATTAAAGAGATAAATTATTTAGTTTTTTTATACCCTGAAAGAGTTTGCTAACGCATAATTTTCTTTGAGAAAGCTAATCAGAAACAGTGCACAAAAACTAGAGATACGTTTTTAATTTTTAATTCACTCAGTTAGGGAGAGAGCTTGAAAGTCTCTAAAAATGGGTCTGAGATTGCCTTCATAAAATAAAACTTTGGGATGCTCATGAATACTTTTTGTTACTTTGTTAAAATTAAAGACATGGAATCTTAGCTCATAAATAATAGGTAATGCACAAATAATTGAACATGGTCTTTTTAATTGTGTTGTGCTGAAGTATTACACAGAGATCGGACATAAATTCATACCTACATCCAGCATCGCCAGCCTCTGAATTTTAAATCAGAACACAAATGCATATAAACATATTCACAAAAAACTGAAAATGCAATTTCAGTGTTGAAACAGCAATGACATCTAAAAAGACAAAATAAATAGCTCTTATTTCTTCTCAGCCAAACTATTCCCCTGCTTGATTATTTGGAAACAAAGTGACCTTCGACTGCAATTCTCATGCTTTGTGTGTCCGGGTCTCACTTCATTTCCATAATTGTCTAGACATCTGATTAGGTGAGATCCGTTCGGCCACCTGAGAGCGGCACAATAGAGTTATCTCCTTTACAAATCCTGCTCTGTGAGAAACCGTGACTCAGTTTGAAGACGTACAGTATGTGCTCCTCTCATTACATCTATAGTCGACTCTCTCCCAGGATTGACCACAGAGGATTCCATTATTCTCCAGTTTTCTTTCGCCACACTTTTCACACAGTTCATTCCCTCAGCCAGACAAAAATGAGCTGATACATGGATCCACACGTCTCACGTCTCATCAGCCCCGTTACAACTGTGTGCGTAGGGTGTTGTTGTTAGCTTAGCAATACACTCAGAATCAGCTATGAACATTTAGTCAAAAACTTCAGAGTACATACTACATTTGACAAAGTATCTATAAGTATGCATAAATCTGGCATGGTGCAAATGTCATGTGACTTACTGCATGTCATCAACCGCATTATTGTTCCCCACCATTTACAAATAACAGTAAAACTTCCAGTGGACGTACTCTTTAAATTCACAGCACAAACAGTCCGTTATCTAGATATTTTACAGCATATTTGTACATATTGCTACTTTGCAGGGGTGTGAAGTAACACATTGCAAATACTCACTTTACTGTAATTAATTTTTATCAGAAATTTTACTTTTTTGAGTAGTTTAAAAATTGTGTATTTTTACTCGAGTACATTTTTAGTAACATATCTGTACTTTTACTCCGCTATTTTCCCTCCGTTTGTGGTAGTTACATGCTTGTTTTAATTCAATTTTTGTCCATCAACGTGATTGGATAGGGAGACGGTAATGGGTCTGGTGACTCTCGTCAAATCAAATTGTGCATAGAAAACTTTTACTGTCAACTGCTGTTAATCATGGCTGCTGGAAGCGCATTCTTCAAGCTTAAATTCAGTCGAGTTATCAGCATCTTCCTCTAATATGTTAAGGTAAATTTTGAATTTCTGCTTAAAAACGGCTTACCATGGCTTAATGTACTGAAATTGGAGGACCAGAGTCAGTATGCACCTTATTGATGACCAATGGCATTATAATACTGCATCTCTGTCAGCACGTGATGCAATAAAACTGCAGCTCGTTAATAAACAAAGTTTTTAGTTTGATCCATTTTACACAATCTGCCTTGCAATCCGTTTAGCAAGTGCACTTGCACAAAAGCATTTTTCAAGCTCAACACTTTTTGTTCCATTCAGTTGTAGATGCTGCTGCAGCAGGCCGCCACGGTCCCGCAAAGAGACGTGTGTGTGTGTGTATGTGTGCGCGCGTTTTTGTGACATATGAGGACACAAATTTGTATAATGACATGGGTATGACATAGGTATTACAAGGAGAAGGTGACTTATGAGGACATTACCCCATATTAGGGGTAATGATTTTTTGAAGTCGACTTTTATGTGATGAAAGTCGAGTCGAAGTCGACTAGTCGCTGATGACGTCATTAATTAACAAATAAGTCTGGAGCTGTGACAAACACCTTGTGCACAGCTATGGCATATGACACAGCGCTGCCCACATGGCTGTTGCTCCTATACCAGCTTTTTTTATATCAGTTCTTTTGTCTTTGAGTCGTTATATTTCTCACAGATTTCTGCTCATTCTAAATCAGATTCAGATAAAGTAGCACATTAAAGATTACATTAATATGAATGCATTAGTGAGAGCGATTGCGTGTGTGAATTAATTCTACCTGGCAGCGTCTCTCTACTAGTAGTGAAGCTGTGGAATTTAGTTATTAAGAAATATATGCTTGAACTTTTCAGTTTCTAAGCTATTTTATTGAGAAATCACAGAACAGTGTTGACAATACATTTCCGCGCTGAATGATTCTGTGCATGTGATGCACACGCTACTGTCTGTAACCTATGTGTGTGCGTTACAGTGCAGCAGCGCATTAGATTAGAATGGCGATTAATGTATCTGTACAATAAGCTGTTTAAAACGTGCATTCGCCCGTTCAATTTCTAGCATCCAGCAATATAATCACACATGTCTTGTGGAGCGCTTTCAGAGTATGCATTTATTTGTCATTTGAACTGTTTGGAAACAGAGCGTAAATGTGGAAGTCTATCCTGTTGCACCCTCTATAGGACCAGCGACTAGTCGACGTCAAGCTTAAAGCTTCATGGCAGAGCACTGAAGTCGACTAGTCGGTGCAACCCCTACCCCATGTCCCCATTTTTCAAAACGCTTATAATCATACAGAGTGAGTTTTTTTGAGAAAGTAAAAATGCACAAAGTTTCCTGTAAGGGGTAGGGT